TTAACGCAGCGACAGGCGTTTTGATTTTCTTCTATTAACAGTTTGAGATTGATACATATGGAAATTTTTGCCCATGAAAAAAAATAATACGAATTGCCTGCGACTAGGAATTTGAACCATAGGCCTCTCAACACCCTCAACGGAGACCGCTTACCTCTGCACCACGGCGAAGTAATACAATATGTACCTTGGAATAAAAACGAACTACATTATGTAATTCCTAAAATTGAGAATTTCCAAATTTCGTGTTTTGCAATCCTTATTAATTTCGAGGTCATTTTGTTCACGATAAACACTGTTGTTAACACGTGGTGAAAAGAATTTAACGAAATACTTCTCGCATGTATATATTCCACTACTGCGACAGTCCATATTTAATTTGTGTACTACGCTCTGGAGTATTCACTTAATCGACATAGCTAAAAATAGCATTTTCATTGATTAAAATGATTTATTCATGAATAATCCAGAAGCTTTAAAGGAAATAGCCGAACATTTTTCATTGTGGTAAAAAAGATATTCATGCCGCGAAATTTCGTGAATTCGTAACCCTCAATATTTCCTATTGACTAATGCTAAACTTTTAATGCCACTGTAATTTGTTAAATGCCTACATTAAAAAATATTCTTTCTTTTAAATTGCTGGTTTTTAAAGCAGTTTTTGAGGTGAGAATACTTTTTGCCGTTTAGGACTGTAAGGATTTTGTGTTAGACCGTGGTTAGCTAATGTATTTACCTGGATCTTACGATCAGAAAATACAAATAATCACCAAAGTACAACCTTATAATAACATGTACAAATTTGCCTTCGTTGAATGCGGCGGGGAAGAAAGACCCGCACGTGCGAACGGCCTGCGCATACAAAAATAAGTTCAAGTTTACTACTCATCATTGCGGTGTAACCTTTAAGTATAATAGGAAAGTATTGATGTTTTAATCGAGAAATATGCCATAAAGAACAAAAAGCAACAATTTTTTTTAATTAACACGCGTAATTAACAGTCTACGTTTTCAAAATTCGTTATTCTCAAAATGTTTCTACACACGGTAGATTTAACGACAGTTTTTTTCAACCCACTTGAACAGCCTTTAAAGAACTGGTTTAACAGTAGTAGCAGAAAAAAAGAAGAAGAAAATAATTTTGCACATATGTTAATAATTAAACTTAATATTTTAACTATGTCACGTCACGTCTTGTTTATGATCAAGATCGAAGGACGCTTCAAGTGGGAATCCTCTATGACGTCAATGACGTCAGAGCACGCGAGGGAAACAGTCGAAACTATTGACCGGTCAACAGTTCGCGAACGTTGACGTTTTTAGAAATTCAGAAAATAGTAAATAATTACAAATTACATTTATATAAAGTATCAGGTAATAATATTTTTATTACATGCTTTTCGACGGTTTATAGAAATATATCAGTGATATAAAACTGATAATTTCACTGTTTTTAAACAGTGAAATTGTCAATTTGATAAATTTCACTGTTTTGAGTTTAAGCCCCTTAATAACGTTGCTTCAGTGAAATACCAGCGTGCACAGTACTGGGAACCAAACATAATGGCGTGACGTCGTAAATGACGTTCACGTTTATTATTATTTGGCGCGCTTTTCATTCACTAATTAGGTTTAATGTCTTTTTAAAACGTTTCTTTGGGCATATAATTAAAAGAAATTTGTTTTAGTTTAGTGTAAGATCGAAATATATTTTCACCTTGTGAACACCAAAAAGTTCATATTTCAAGAGTGGCTGCAAATATCGACAAAAATGAAACTATGATATTTATCAACAAATATACATATATTGCACTTTATCTCAAGTAACCTTACATGTTTTTATGTAAATGAAAGTTGCAATAAAATATTATGAAACAAATAAACATTATAAGCGGGCATCAATAATCAAAGTGCTGAATGCGACGGACATGCAAGGCTTTTTCAGGAAAAAATAAACACAAAAAAACCCCACAAAAACACAGACACAAAAGATATAATAGAGACAATTAGTTCCATACAAGACTTGAAGTTCGAGATTTGTAGAACAATATATATTTAGGTGTCCCAATCTGAAATCATTCAGATTTTCTACTTTGAAGCAAAACACGTCCAAATTTTTAAATACATAATGAAATTTATGCCAAACTTGTAAATCAGTGTCCTTATCGATTTATTTGTAAAAAGAAAAAAAACTGTCAACGAAATATTTCTTAAATAAAACAATGCAAATAAACTTGTTATATCATGTCTCATTAAAAATATTTTTGATTAAAACCATCAGCAATTAAATGTGTATTTTTTAAATAACAAGGTAAAGATGTAGAGGCCAGAGCACATCTTTTTAGTTTTGATTTAAATGTAACTTAAGCACTGTGTCTAGTTGCCCCTTTCAATTTCACACTGAATTCCATTTTCAACTTGTTTTGCTTCTTACAATTGTATAAAACTTCTTAAAGTATTGCATATAAACAAAGTAAGTATCCGCTGATTTATTACATGCATAATGTGCACTACATAACCGTTTGTCCGAAAGTCAGCACAGGTGATGTAGTGGTGATTGGGTAAAATCTATTTTTAGAATAGTGTTATCTATTATAATCTATCACAAATCACATTAGCTGATAGCAGGTTAACTCATATCGTGACCTAGAAAAATATGTAATTAATGCGCGAGATATTCTAGAATTGCTGAGTCACGAAAAATTTTTGATCTGTTCATAAAAATGTTTTGTTTAATGGAGTAATATTTATTTCTTACTTATAATTTCTAGGAATTATTGAGCTTACGCCTTAATTATAGCATAATTTGCTGTCCTACTTTTTCGACAGCTGTAAATCGTTTCAGCAGTTATTTGCATAATTATTGCGCAATAATACTAACAGGCTACAGCGTTTTTATCAATCAAATACGTTCATATTTTAACTTGGTTAACTTAATTTGAAATTGAAAAGGCTTAATATGGAAGTTTTTAAGATATCCCGACAAAGTATGGGAGTTTCATATGATCAAATTCATGTACTATTTCTTGGTCTGTTATTCGGTTGAATCGTAGCCGACGAAATCCCATGTGTAGATGATATAGCTCTGAACGCGCCTGTGGGCGCGTCCGTCGCAAAAATGATACTTTTTCACGTAAAAAGTTTCTATTTTGGGTATTTGATGTATATATAGAGGATATTATTTTTTTTTAAAAATTCATGATTTATTTTCATCGAGTGGTATGAAAATAAATATTTCACGAGTGGCGATTGATAGCCACAAGTGAAATATGATAATTTTCATGCTATAAGATGGAAATAAATCATGCATTTATAGAAAAAAACTTCCTGTTCTGATTATTATATATATTTTTCTCTTTTATGACATTGCAATCTCTAAGACCTGCTCTTAATTTTGTGTACTGGCAGAAATTAAAAGAAAGTAGTCCGGCAAGACTCCAGTGAAAATACGGAAAATATGTTTCACTTCAGTGAAAAATCATTTCTTACGATGAAAATCGGAAAATGAAAACTCGCATTTTATATTTCTCAATATTTCAATTATTAGTATATAATAAGATATTATATTAGTGTAGGTTCATTGCTAAATTCATTGAACTCGTTGAATAAAACAATAATATTATGCTCGTCAAAGGCTCCCATAATATAATTTTCTTCAACTCGATCGATAAATTCGGTATTGAACTTACACTTATTCAAAATCCTCTTTTTTATTCATAAAATACGGTGTTCCATTTTGACAACCGTGATCTTTTATTCCGTCCTTACCCGCGATTCACGACTGTACGATGATAAAAACGCGATGGTATACGATGACACGATGATGATAACGCAATGGTACGATGACAATATGATGTAAACACGACGGTACGATGGTGAAAACACGATGTCGCTATGTTATATGGCGTTTCATCATCGTACCATCGCGTTTTCTCCATCGTGCAATCGCGTTTTCACCATCGTACCATCGCGTTTTCACCATCGTACCGTCGCCTTTTTACCATCGTACCATCGCCTTTTTACCATTGTGCCATCGCGTTTTCAACATTGTGCCATCGCGTTTTCAACATTGTGCCATCGCGTTTTCAACTTCGTGCAATCGTGCCATCACGCTTTCGGAAAGAAGTCAGATTCCGATACGACAAATAGTAAAAACAAGTTAAAAATATTAGCCCTTTATCTTAAGCTATAAATAACAAAACCTGTTATTTTCACATTTCCATTTGTGTCATAATCCTGTTTATAGATCAAAGACTATTTAATATAATAATGCTTTTGTTTGCATTTTTTTTTTTTTTGCTGTTTTTAAGATATCTACTTAAAACTTTAGATGGACAGTGCACGAGGGTGACAACTTTATTTTTCTTATTTTTGACCAATTGCCTTTTGCTATGTTTCATGTTTTAAATGCTAATTACTCAAAATAATTCGAGGCATCAATTTCAAAAACTTTTCAAAGATATGCAAAAATAGGGATGCGGGGTTTATTAATGAGAACGCATACAGTGTTTATAAAAATGTACCATTGAGCATAATCACCTGGAGACAATGGCACGATGATGACATCGCGATGGCACCATGGTAATGACACGATGGTACGAGGGTAAAAACGCGATGGTACGATGGCGAAGACGCGATGTTACGATGATCAAAACGCGATAAGGCATCGCGTTTTCAACGTACCATCGCGCCGTCACCATCGTACCCGCGTTTTTGTTGTTTTTTTTCACCATCGTATCATCGTGTTTTTATCATCGTGTCATCGTACCATCGCGTTTTCACCATCGTCAACATTGACTTAAAATATCCACCAGTAAATGTTTTGTAAACGCTCCAACGCCATACTTATAAACACCTACATTTTTGGTTAAAAAACAACACATTTGCTTATGCTTTAATGATTTGGTTAAGAATTAACTAAACTCATAAATTTACTGGTTTATGATTACTCTGCATAATTCAAACATTTAATGTGTTCAATACAAATGAAAATTACATACCTGAAACTATTTAACAAAACAAAACAGTCGTTTTACTTCGTCACTTATACAACACAGTATTTTGTTCAAGTATAATAAATTGCTAAGCTCATGATAGATTTAAAATTGGTATCTACATATATGCAAATACGTCATTCAAATCAAGATCGGTTACTAATTTTTTAAACATACAATCATTTAATATTACTGTAATCATTTAATTTTATATTACCCCCGAAAAAACGATTCTATGGTGGGATTACGCCATTCGTATTTTCGCTTTGTTTTGCCTTAAAGGAAATGCGAAACACGAAGGACACAATATTTTAAGAAGGATCATCCAGTTCCTAACATGTAGAATATATTTTAATATTAACGGTAAGGTTTTCAGACTGTTTTCAATCAATTAATATGTTCCTATCATCTTCAGGTTACCAGTTTATTTTTATTAAATATTTTACCTCTGACGGGTTGTGACATGAGAATTAAGATTGCTAAAGTCACTGTCCGCACACATCTTAAAACAGACATTTACTCTAAGATTGAGGTGTATTTTCGCTGGACAACATTTTATAATGTTTGTTAATTCTAGTACAGGACTTTTGTAAGACATAATCATACTTCATTTGATTTTACAGTGCATGTTGGATTAAGCTTGATTAAAAACTTTGTTGCTTCGATTTAATGATAAAAAACATACATATGAAAATATTTGGTTGCCATAGTTCCCGGTAATTCAGCCTTCTTCAGTGGCTTTATTGAATTTTAAAATGTATATAATAATTTCTAAAAATAGTATATACATTATTACATTATGTCATGTTGACATGTTCCACATGTCTTAAAAACAAAGCTCTCATGATGGTCATTCTGTCTACCATCTTCCCCATATTGCACGAATAGATCATATTGTATTATACTGTGCTTCTCTAAGTTCACGGTACTTAATGCTTTCAAACAAGAAGGGAAACAATAGACTAATGGTACAAAAATGTCATTAGCTACAACATTTAGGTATTTTCAGATTGATGTCTCTCTCCGTGCGCATGTACAACCAGAATCGAAAATGCGGAAATGTAACAATGCGAAAAAGCGAAAATGCAAGAATGCGAAAATGTAACAATGCGAAAAAGCGAAAATACGACAGATGGGATGTTTATATACGACATATTTTATGTGTCGTATTTTCGCCCTCCTGTTTAGAGTCTAGTTTTGTCGCCCCTTCGTGTTTTCGCATTTTCGCATTTTGAGGCAAAGAAGCGAAAATACGACATGGCGTAAATCAGCCACCATACGATTCAGTTAAATTTGCCTAGCTAGCTGTTAAAAGCCTGTGGCATGTTCATATAATTTTCTTTCTCAAAGATAAACACAAATAGCCTGAGAACAATATGTCAGATATTAAACAAACAAAAATACAACACTAATTTAGTTATAATAGATTTTACGTAACCGTTACATGACTTTAATATAGAAAAGTGCAGTGACAGGTTTTCCCCGTGGCTATAAATTTTCATTATTTTCAAATAATGATAGATATAATCTTCGCTCTTCAGCAAATAATGATCTTATTCACTTCAGGCCATGGACAGATTATATGAAACAAACGTTTACATACAAAGCGGCACATTCATGGAATACAGTTCCAACTGAAATAAAACGTCATCTTTTAAGGGTAAACTGAAGGATTATTTAATAAAAAATACAGCTTAAAGAGCTAAAACCTTTAAACTGATTTTAACAGAAATTTATACTGTATAGCTCTCTATAGCGTTAACATTGATTGATGATTGTATGTGCATACGATGTTAAGATACTGATTTCCATAACTTATTATTTAAAATCCACAAAGATGCTATGCATTTTGTAAGAGTGTTTAAATGACGTAATTATATTGCTGTTTTTTGTTATTTCTGTTTTCTGTTTATATATACAAAGTATGACCTGTATAACTAAAAATGTAATATATAGTATTATTTGTCCAATTGTCAACAATCTTATATCGGGCAAACAGAAATGAATTAAACTTACGAATGAATTTACATAGACAACAAACTAATACAGAGTCACTTCGTTTTCTTAAGATTAATAAACATCTACATAAGTATTCTGGGGGAAAGTTTAATATATTTCCCCTATTTAAACTTCTAAAGAATGATGATCATTTCAGAGATGAAAAAGAATTATTTTTATAAGCATATTAAAGCCGCAATTTAACTGCTCATGTTAACCCACTATATGTTCTACAGGTTCTTTGCAACATTTTAAACTTGGGTATTTATAAAAACTACTTTTACATATCCACATGGTTTTAAGTTACTTTTTTCTAACATTTTTTACTCGTTTAGCTAATTCATATCAAAAAGTACTTATTAGTAATACAAATTTCGCATTTATTTCTATGATGAGTCAATGTTTTTAATTTAAAAGCATATTTATTACCTCCCTTTAATAGAGTGTTTTAGTCTATCAGGTTCATGCAAGATCTTTACATTTATATAAGTAAATATTTTTCCATTTCCACATGGTTTCAAGGACAAATTTTTCTGACATATTTTTACCCGTTTAGCTCACTAATGTTAAAAAGTACTCATTAGTAATGCAAACGTTGTATTTACTTCTATAATTAGTCAATGTTTTGAATTTTAAAATGTCTATATTGACTCCCTTTATAGAATATTTACTCTATGTACTTTTTTGTAGCAATTCAATACTTCTAATATAAGAGTAAAAGAATATTTTATTTGCCACGCAATGTCGTATATTTACGGTTCCCGTTACGTCATTGTTATATTTGTTATGATTATATTATACGTTACTGTCTGAAGATAATGTAAAAACATTGAAAGCGCTAACAGAAATAAACGTATAAAAATTTAACGAACTTTATACTCTGCATTTCCCAAAACCTACTTTTTTATATACATGCATGTTACAAAACAACTGTATTGTTTGTAATACTTTTATTTCCATCCGCCTATATCCGCACAATCTTTATGTTAAATGCTGTGGTTTTGTTTAAACATCAAAATAATGGCACGTTTTTCAAATTAGTATTTAGCGCTGACTTCATCATTGATTGTCCGGAAGGAAAGACTTTGCAGAGGATTTGAAAATCAAAAAATCCAAGTTCTTGCTATTTCCCGAAATTGGGAAAGGGGTAACAATTTATTGGTGCATTAAGCATGTATTATAGAACCACCGTGTCCAGGACTACGTGTTTATCTTTCATAAATCATCGCACGTGCAATTTTATTAAACACTTTATTAAACATGACTTTGTGTCATACTTTTTAAATGATAACTATACGTGCCTGAATCTTTCTAATATATATTTTCTGGTCTTTGTCATAAGATTTTACAACTACTACACATGCAGCTCGAAAATTACACATATGTATATAAATGTTTGGTTTGTTTTCAAAATAAAATGCAATGCAAAAATGTTTGCGGATTGGCCAACAGGTTTAATTTGACATTTGACTTTAAGCGGACCAAATGTCTCAAAACCCTGACATGCTTTTGTAACTCTTTCCCACTTTAGTGCATTTACAATTAAAGTAAGTGTTATATGCACAGATGCTTGCAGAGCAAGTTTCCAATTTAAAAGTACCAAAAATTAAAGTATTCACGAAATAAAAGAGAACTTTGATTTGATAAAATAGGTTAACCATATACATTTAAAATTTATCAAGGGGAAATGATTGGTGAAATGTGTGGCGTATGATGTAACTTGCAAAGATCAAGGATTTTTATTCTCAAGTATAACTAGTGTGTTATTATTGAATACGGAAATGTACAGTAGTTACCTCTGTCCAGAGTGCCCCAAGGCTCAGTTCTAGAGCCCCTCTGTTTCCTTCTATATATCAACAAGCTACCATCTTCTGTCCTTAAATCCCAAGTCAGATTATTTGCAGACGACACTGCTGTATACCTAACCATCAATTCCTCCTCAGACCTCCCAACTATTCAACGTGATCTAGACAATATGGTTCTGTGGGAGAAGCAGTTGGACATGAAGTTTAACCCTTCAAAATGCGGAGTCATCCATTTACCATAATTAAACACAAATTTATGCTCCATGACCAAGTCCTAGAGTCGGTCTCAAATACTAAATACCTCGGACTAGATCTGTCTGCTGACCTTAAATTTAACACACATATATCTCGAATAACTTCCAATGCAAACAGATCCCTTGGCTTTATTAAAAGGAATGTTATAACTAACAAGAGCCATGTCAACATGTCCATCCCCCGCCGAATGTGTTTGCTCATTGGAAGAATGTATATGTAGTAGAGCAGAATAATTTAATTTTAAGAGGTCTTTTGGTAATGTAAACTGATGGCTGAAGTGATAACAGATTTGAAACCTATGTGAATACTGATGGCTGAAAATAACAAAAGGGTAATAACTGAAAAAAATGCAGGGTAGGTTATCATTCTTGTGTGCTGCACCCTCCTCAGTAAAATCTATTCAAGTTGATACCTCAAATACTTTTCAACAAAAAGTATGAAAAAGACTAAAGGGCAATAACTCAAAAATTATATAGGGAAGAGTTATCATTCTTGCGCACAGCATTCCTCCTCAATAAGATCTATCCACCTTTGACATTTCATGTAGACATCTCATACACTTTTGAGTTATGCTCCACTCAGGTGAAAAATTACGTATGAAAAATAACAAAGGACAATAACTCAAAAAATTATGAAAGGTAGAGTTATCATTCTTGTGCACTGCACACCTCCTGATGTTGAAATCTCAAAGGCTTTTTGTGTTATGCTCTTGACGAAAAATAATTTTAAAAAAATAAAAAAGGGCAATTACTCAAATATTATGCCGGATAGAGTTATCATTCTTGTGCACTGCACTCCTCCTCAATGAGATCCATCCACCTACGAAGTTTCAAGTTGATACCTCAAATACTTTTTGAGATAATCTCCGGACAAAATAGTATGAAAAAGAACAAAGGGCAAAAACTCAAAAATTATATAGGGAAGAGTTATCATTCTTGCGCACAGCATTCCTCCTCAATAAGATCTATCCACCTATGACATTTCATGTTTACATCTCAAACACTTTTTGAGTTATGCTCCACTCAGGTGAAAAATTAAGTATGAAAAATAACAA